CACTTGCGTCTCGACTTGGACTTGAACACCAATAACTCAGGACTTTACTTGGACTTGAGCCTTCTGACTTGAGGTGACTTGATACTTTAATTGAGGGGTCTCCAACACGTCGATCGCGAGCTACCGGTAGAAGAGCCCGTCGGGGAGAGCAGAATCTTCAGCCGCTCCTACTCTTGCTGAGAATCCATGCAGGCAGGGGCGGGACTTTATTTTGCTGGGCCACCATGCGGCCAATCATATGCGAGGACACACTAGGATCGTACCATTATGTGAAAGAAGGGTGGGGGGCAGACGCTCCAAAGACAGCAAGTGTAGTGGTACAGGCCAGCTACACAGAGCGTCAGATAGACGGGGAGCCGGCTTTAAATGCAAGCGTGTCGGAAAAAGTCAAGAAATTAGCGAAAACGGAAAAAATAAGCAGCATCTGGCTGCTTTTCAATGATATTGGAGAAAGCAAAGCTGAGTGCAGGATTTATAAAAATGAAAATAACCTTCAGAGCAGGGTTATTTTTTTGGTAACCACTCAGGATTTATTGTCAGAGGTGGGTGAAGTTCAGATCTTGTACTTGAGTACAAGTACCAGAGTGTAGGAATACTCGGTTACAATAAAAAGTCCTGCATTCAAAATGTTACTCAAGTAAAAGTACAAAAGTATTAGCATCAAAATATAGTTAAAGTACCACCTGCAGAGGGATCTAGATTCAGGTGTTCTTTTCCCCATAGAGACCGCCTCGCTGCACATTATCCCTTGCATAAAGATAGATTGTGGGTCCCTTATAACATGTTGTACACAGTGGAAATAAACATTCTGGTCACCTCAACATCAGGGATCTTATACATTAACTCCTTCTGAATCAAACCGTCACGGTAGCATTACCTTACTGATCCCTCTTAAATTAGAAAAAAACATGTTACTTTACCAGCAGAGAGAAAATGGATTATTAAATATTACTGTGACGAATAAAGAGCAGTTTGATTATTAAGTATTATTCTGTTGATGGATGTCATTGCATTTGGTGAAAAGCACATAATGACTTGTTTAAGACTCAGTTTTCAAAGTTTAGGACTTGGACTTGACTTGAACTTGCCCATCCTTGAGACTTGACTCGGGATTTGCAAAACAATGACTTGGTCCCACCTCTGGTTCCCCGAACTTACACGACAGCTCCAAGTTCTTTGCATTAACAACATGGTTAAACAACAGTGCAGTTGTTATCTACAATTGAAGTTCATGAGGACCAAGATATGTATGACTAACTTAAACTGGACCATAAAATACATATGACTGAATCAAACTATACATGAGAGCAACCAATCCGAGTACTTTCTTTCTGCCCCGCCATTTTTTTTCAAGAGAGTTTTTCTTCAATCACATAAAAAAACTAAGAATACCGTGCAAATAGGATGGCCAGCAAGGCAAACAATTAACCAATGTCATTGGAGATTGGTGGCGATACATAGTTTGTATTCAAATCAATATGATCGATGTATTGCAGGCAGCAAGCTAATATTAACAGTCAGTGTTTCATATTTCAATGCATATACAGTCACTAAAATGACTTTAACATTATAACTGTTTCCTTTGATGATTGACGTTAACTTTTTTTCCCTAATGTAGCTGTTAAATAAAATACATTTAAAAAATAATCTGCGATAAATTGTCGATAACAATTGTTTTAGTCCGCACATCTTCAATACAACAACTAGGGGGCAATATGAGCACCAGAGTGAGTGATTGACTTTGAATGAGATAGAGTTAGACGGAGACGGAGTGTAAACAAATCTAGATAGCGAATATGGAGAAGGAACATGATGTTTAATCACTTAAAGAAACGTCCTTTGAGAGGAGGACACTGGAGGGAAAGCTGAAAGTAAAAGAGCTCGGACCGGATCAGCCTGACTTAGGAAGGAGTTAAGGACAGAGGAAGGCAGTATACGTGCTCTTTTTCAAGGAGCTGCTTTAGCAAGAAGGCTGGGGGCTAACTACCAACACCAGTGCTATATTTAGCTTCCCCGGTCTCCTTTTTCAAACGCACTGCTCTCATGTATGCTATAGCATCCATGAGTAAGCTGTGAAACTGGTGGACACAGCGCTGGAAAAAAACCTATACAGCGCAGCAAAACATTGACGTACAAAGATCATTCCAGAACAACAGTGAGAGTGGAGCTTGCATTACCCTCTTGTGGTGACCCGTGCTGTGACCCTTACTGACCCTAACTTTAAAAGTTGTCTTTACAAACAGCAACCACAAAGCCTAGTCGTTCTGCCTTTAAATTACTTAAGATTAAAGTAATTTTAAATTAATCACAGGGATGTACCGTTCGATGTAATCATCAAATCTTTCAATTTCCAAGCATTAAATGGCAGTGTGATTTCCTTCAAAAACTATAGAGGATAAGTCCTGGAGCAGCTGCACAGGGAGGAATACAAACATGATCATTCATCTCCTGATTTAGTTTCTTTAAAATATATAACAGGCAATATGTTGTTCATATCAGGTCATAGTCACCTGCAACCATTTACATCAGGGGTGTCCAAACTTACATGATGGATTATTTGTGGGGCAAAGTATGTCAAATAATGCTTTAGAAATTGAACTGCTTATTTTCTCATATCTACTCATCTTAATAATTTCTCTTCCGATGTATTTAATGTTACATTTTATTTATTTATTACTATTACTGGAAGTGTTTTATTGGACTCTGCTCTAGTTGCCAACCGATAGCCTTGGTTTGACTCATGAGATATTTGCAATATCAACAAACAACTTACAGGGGATTCCTTTCTTTAAATCTGGATGGACAGAATGTAGCCTTCACCTGTTGCCCTTATGTGAGCAAAAATGTAGACGGAGACGGAGTGTAAACAAATCTAGATAGCAAATATGGAGAAGGAACATGATGTTTAATCACTTAAAGAAACATCCTTTGAGAGGAGGACACTGGAGGGAAAGCTGAAAGTAAAAGAGCTCGGACCGGATCAGCCTGACAGAGGAAGGCAGTATACGTGCTCTTTTTCAAGGAGCTGGTTTAGCAAGAAGGCTGGGGGCTAACTACCAACACCAGTGCTATATTTAGCTTCCCCGGTCTCCTTTTTCAAACGTCAGGATCAGACCAGTCTATGGACCAGACCCAGCATGGATCCAGACAGATGTGAGTGACTTAAAGCACATATCAGAAAAAACTAAAAAGCATTAACAAACTGGAGTCCACATGGTTGATGCTATGCGACTAGCCATGTTTAGGAAAGTAAACACAGCTGTCCAATGAGGGTGACAGGATAGGGATCTGTAAGCATAATAAGGAGGTTGACAAAAACAGGCACTAAAATAATAGACTGTATCAAGTGCTGTGTGCCTTTGAGCTAGCCCTGCGTTGTAATATGTCATATGTTTTGAGTTTGCGTATAACTTTGCTTACATTTTGGTAGAGCCCCTCCTGGAGAAAAATGCACCATCCGCCACTGGTACAAGTATCAACCGACCGGGACCCATTGTTTATGTGTTTCGTTCTCTGTGTTGGTGTCCTGATGCAATAGATAGTTTCTTTTAACATCCTTTTTCCTAAGTGAAAGTAAAGAACATTGTAACTTTCAATATTTGTTATTGTTTGACGTGCAATACACGAATCAGCAGCTTTTCAACTGTTTCCACCAATTGCTTGTTTTCACGGGAAAGGTGGTGGAGCCGTCATTTTGGAGTGCATCGTCTTTCAACCAGAAGGTTGTGGGTTCGATCCCAGCCTGTGCAGTCAACATGTCGATGTATCCTTGGGCAAGATACTTAATCCCAGTGGCGGACTGGCCATCGGGACGTTCAAGACGAATCCCGATGGGCCGGTACCGAAGTGGGCCAGTCAGATGATGTGGGCCGATCGGATAACTCACTAGCGTTGACAATTTACTAGCAGTAACGAGGTGGGCCGGTCGAGAGTCCCGGGCTGATTTTTATTCCCAGTCCGCCCCTGCTTAATCCTGAGGAAGTTGTGATTGACTCGGAGTATGTAAAGCACTTTAAGGGGTCGTCAAGACCTTCAAAAGCTATATAACTACAGTCCGTTAAGTCTATTTACAGCTACGTTGCACTGCTCTCATGTATGCTATAGCATCCATGAGTAAGCTGTGAAACTGGTGGACACAGCGCTGGAAAAAAACGTATACAGCGCAGCAAAACATTGACGTACAAAGATCATTCCAGAACAACAGTGAGAGTTGAGCTTGCATTACCCTCTTGTGGTGACCCGTGCTGTGACCCTTACTGACCCTAACTTTAAAAGTTGTCTTTACAAACAGCAACTACAAAGCCTAGTCGTTCTGCCTTTAAATTACTTGAGATTAAAGTAATTTTAAATTAATCACAGGGATGTACCGTTCGATGTAATCATCAAATCTTTCAATTTCCAAGCATTAAATGGCAGTGTGTTTTCCTTCAAAAACTATAGAGGATAAGTCCTGGAGCAGCTGCACAGGGAGGAATACAAACATGATCATTCATCTCCTGATTTAGTTTCTTTAAAATATATAACAGGCAATATGTTGTTCATATCAGGTCATAGAGTCACCTGCAACCATTTAGATCAGGGGTGTCCAAACTTACATGATGGATTATTTGTGGGGCAAAGTATGTCAAATAATGCTTTAGAAATTGAACTGCTTATTTTCTCATATCTACTCATCTTAATAATTTCTCTTCCGATGTATTTAATGTTACATTTTATTTATTTATTTATTTATTACTATTACTGGAAGTGTTTTATTGGACTCTGCTCTAGTTGCCAACCGATAGCCTTGGTTTGACTCATGAGATATTTGCAATAACAACAAACAACCTACAGGGGATTCCTTTCTTTAAATCTGGATGGACAGAATGTAGCCTTCACCTGTTGCCCTTATGTGAGCAAAAACTTTGCACGCACGATTTGAGGCCAGATTGACAGAATATTCTGATACTTAGAGTATTTGTGTGTTCTGAATTTGTCCTTTCTTCTGTTTTTTTGTTCAGGAGATCAGTCGCCTATCAGAGATGCACTCCATTCACCCATGAGAGGTGAGTGTTTCTTATATCATATACGTAGCTTTTAAACACATAGACCAGTCCGTCTGTCTCTCTTTTAGACACATCGCAGTTTTGTTCCTGACACATTTTAGTAGGATTTTTTTTCATCTCTGGTTCCAAAAATATAATACTTGAACATTATGCAGTTGCAATTTTAAATCTCCTTTTGCAGTTTATTGACCAATAAAGAAAGCTGATACAAGCGGCCGAGATGGGTTTTCTCCGCAGGGTGGCTGGTGTCTCCCTTAGGGATAAGGTGAGAAGTTCGGTCATCAGGGAGGGACTCGGAGTTGAGCCGCTCCTCCTTCGCGTCGAAAGGAGCCAGTTGAGGTGGTTCGGGCACCTAGTTAGGATGCCACCTGGGCGCCTCCCTAGGGAGGTGTTCCAGGCAGGTCCAGCTGGGAAGAGACCAAGGGGTAGACCTAGGACCAGGTGGAGGGATTATATCTCTTCGCTGGCCTGGGAGCGCCTTGGGATCCCCCAGTCAGAGCTGGTTGATGTCGCCAGGGAAAAGAAAGTTTGGGGCTCTCTGCTGGAACTGCTACCCCCGCGACCCGACCACGGATAAGCGGGAGAAGATGGATGGATGGAAAGAAAGCTCCAGCACTGCGGACTCTTTGAGGTCCTCTAGTAAAAACCTTACGGTGGATTTATCTGGCATTGTGTTAGTCTTTTTTCCACCAGAGGTCTCGTGGAGGGCAAAGCAGGGAAGTTCTTTTAACATTTATATCAAACCCATTTGGAATGATGAGGGGCTGCAGGCCTCATCATGTCTTGAACTCTGTCTGGTGCTTTGACGGGGGCCAAAATCTTCATCCACTTCAAGAATGGAGAAATATCAAATTAACATTTTTGTATTCGAAACGTTCAATATTTTCAAGCTTCCATAAAGCAGCAGATCAAACAGAGATACTTATTTTAAACTATATTTAACTATTGATTTACTTATAGGCTTCTTTATAAGGAACACTTTGATCAGTCTGAGCGTCTCCATTGGAGGCCATGCCCAATGTCAAACATTACGACACATCAAAAATGTGTTTTTTGGTTTCTGCTCATTTCCTGCTTCTCCTTACTAGTTTCATCACATCATATAGTTACCAAACTTTAGTGAGTCCTTAACTGTATTATTTCAAAAGTAAATATTCGGACACAATATTTTCTTTGCTGATCCTAACCAAATGAGAGTGCATGAGCCTGAGATGTTTCACTTATACAAAACCTTATTTGAATTTCGGTCCAAAAAGTAAACGAATCAGAATTGATCATTAACAGGTTATGAATTGGAACAATGTGGGACCGCTTCACAAAATTGGAAGGAAGTCTGCAATTTGTGCACGCTGAGGTAAAGAAGTTATATAAACACACACATATAAATACATACATAGGCTATAAGCATATGCGTACAAACGCATGCACGCACAGTCATATGCATAATTTGGCTGGACAAACCACAAAAAGACAAAGTTTGGGTTTGGAGTGAGCTCAGATTGTCAGGGTGCGTGGAAAAGGTAGGACCCAAAAGCAGAATTTAACAAAAAGCGAGCTTTATTAAATAATAAAAGCTGTGTCAAAAGGCAGTATCCAAAATATCCAAAAACAAATGAGCAGCACAAGGAACATGGACCGTGGAATAACATGGAGGGAAAACAATGGACCGACATGGAACACAGGGGAAGACTAGACTAAATACACAGAAGGGTAATCACAGGACAAGACACAGCTGGGCAGGGGAGGGAGAAACACAAGGGCAACAGGTGAACACAATGAGACAATCAGACACACCAGGGAAACTAACGACAGGGAGGAGGACCAGACAAAACACAAGGAGGAAGACAAAACACCAAATGAACAGACTTACAAAACCCATAACCAGACAGACAACACTAAAACCGTGACATAAACCTAGGAGTGTGACAGAACCCCCCCCCTCAAGGGACGGATCCCAGACGTCCCAAAAAACAAATTCCAGCAGGGTGGGTGGAGGGGGTCTGGAGGACGGGTCTCGGGCGGACGGCCCGGGGGCAAGGCAGAGACCAAGGAGGGGGTCTCAGGCGGAAGGCCCGGGGGCAAGGCAGAGTCCAAGGTGGGGAACTCGGGCGGACGGCCCGGGTGCAAGAGTCCAAGGTGGGGAACTCGGGCGGATGGCCCGGGGTCAAGGCAGAGACCATGGAGGGGCGAAGGCCACAGCGGGCAAACTCAGGGGGCCGAGCATGAGGGCGAAGGCAGCGGCAGGAAGAGTCAGGGGGCCGGGCCCGAGGGTGAAGGCAGCGGCACTCAGGGGGCCGGGCTCAAGGGCGAAGACCGCGGCTCTCAGGGGGCCGGGCTCGAGGGCGAAGACTAGACAGCTCCGGAGGCCGGGCAGAACCCGGTGTCGGCCGAACAGGAACCGGAGCCAGTGGGACAGGCCTCGGCAGGATCCCCCACGGAAGAGGACCAGGAGTTGGCAGGACCCCCGGCGAGACACGTGATGGCGGGACCTCCAACGGAACAGGACATGGAGCTGGCAGGAACCCCAGCGGAACCTGCAACGGCACAGGACATAGGGTTGGCAGGACCCCCGGCAGAAGAGTAGTCGGCGGGGCCCCCAACGGGACAGGACATGGAGCTGGCAGGAACCCCAGCGGAACCTGCAACGGCACAGGACATAGGGTTGGCAGGACCCCCGGCAGAAGAGTTGTCGGCGGGACCCCAAACGGGACAGGACAAAGGGTTGGCAGGACCCCCGGCAGGAGAGTAGTCGGCGGGACCCCCAACGGCACAGGAAATAGGGTTGGCAGGACCCCCGGCAGAAGAGTTGTCGGCGGGACCCCCAACGGGACAGGACATAGAGTTGGCAGGACCCCCGGCAGAAGAGTAGTCGGCGGGACCGCCAACTGGACAGGACATGGAGTTGGCAGGACCCCCGGCAGGAGAGTAGTCGGCGGGACCCCCAACGGGACAGGACATAGGGTTGGCAGGACCCCCGGCAGGAGAGTAGTCGGCGGGACCCCCAACGGGACAGGACATGGAGTTGACAGGACCCCTGGCAGGAGAGTTGTCGGCGGGACCTCCGACGGCACAGGATATAGGGTTGGCAGGACCCCCGGCAGAAGACTAGTCGGCGGGACCTCCAACGGGACAGGATATGGAGATGGCAGGACCCCCAGCGGAACCTCCAACGGCACTTGAGTAGGGACTTGAGTGAGGACTCGAGAGAGGGCTTGAGAGGGAACTCGAGAGGAAACTTGAGAGTTGACCTGAGAGGTGACTTGAGAGGGAACTCGAGAGGGGACTCGATAGGGAACTCGAGAGGTGACTTGAGAGGTAACTCGAGAGGGGACTTGAGAGAGAACTCGAGAGGTGACTGGAGAGGGGACTCGAGAGGGAACTCGAGAGGAGACTCGAGAGAGGGCTTGAGAGGTAACTCGAGAGGGGACTCGAGAGGGAACTTGAGAAAGAACTCGAGAGGAGACTTGAGAGGGGACTCGAGAAGGAACTCGAGAGGAGACTTGAGAGGGAACTCGAGAGGGAACTCGAGAGGAGACTTGAGAGGAGACTCGAGAGGGGACTTGAGAGAGGACTCGAGAAGAGACTCGAGAGGGGACTCGGGTAGGAACTTGAGAGGTGACTTGAGAGGGGACTCGAGAGGAGACCTGAGGGGAAACTTCAGAGGGGACTCGAGAGGAGACTAGAGAGGTAACTTGAGAGGGGACTCGAGAGGTGACTTGAGAGGGATCTCGAGAGGGAACTTGAGCTGAGACTCGAGAGGTGACTGGAGAAGGAACTTGAGAGGGGAGTCGAGAGGATACTTGAGAGGGAACTCGAGAGGAGACTCGAGAGGGAACTCGAGAGGGGACTTGAGAGGGAACTCGAGAGTTGACTTGTAAGGGGACTTGAGAGGGAACTCGAGAGGTGACTTGAGACGGTCGGTACGCCGACAGGACACGAGGTGCTAGAGTCTGCCGGTATGCCGACAGGACACGGGGAGCTGGCGTTGGCTGGTACGCCGACAGGACACAGGGAGCTGGCGTCGGCCGGAGAGCCAGTACTGGAGCCGAAACTAGAGTCGGGACCATGGCTACTGGGGCCGGTACTGAAGCCGGAACCATGGCTGCTGGGGCCAGGACTGGAGCAGGGACCATGGCTGCATGGGCCGGTTCTGGAGCCGGAAACATGGCTGTGGGAACCGGAGCTGAAGCCTGGATCATGGCTGTGTGGGCCGGTTCTGGAGCCGGAAACATGGCTGTAAGTTCCGGTTCTGGAGCAGGGACCATGGCTGCTGGGGCCGGCACTGGAGCCGGAACCATGGCTGCTGGGCAAGGAACCGGAACACGGAACCATGGCTGTGTGGGATGGTACTGGAGCACGGTACCATGACTGTGTGGGCCAGCACTGGAGCCGGAACCATGGCTGCTAGGACCGGTACCTGAGTACGAGCTGGCTTCCTGACCTTGCGTATTTTAGTGGTCTTTTGGAGGCTCCGTGGACCTCCAAACGCCAGGCGGGATCCCAAGAAAGGGTCAGAGAATGGAGACTGGCACTCAGGGCTACGAGAAAAAACTCTGAGAAACTCAGGCAATGAGCTTCTCAACCATGGCACGTTGTCCACCTCAATTTGTGCCTTTTTGAGGACAGCCTCTTTGTCCCTTTTAGCCGAGGTTCTACTCCATTCAGCATAATGACACTGAAGAGTGTACTCTAGGGAGAACAAGTCCAAATAAAAATAAAAATCTGCTGGGTCCATTGTTGGTCGGTCCATTCTGTCAGGGTGCGTGGAAAAGGTAGGACCCAAATGCAGAATTTTAACAAAAAGCGAGCTTTATTAAATAATAAAAGCTGTGTCAGAAGGCAGTATCCAAAATATCCAAAAACAAATGAGCAGCACAAGGAACATGGACCGTGGAATAACATGGAGGGAAAACAATGGACCGACATGGAACACAGGGGAAGACTAGACTAAATACACAGAAGGGTAATCACAGGACAAGACACAGCTGGGCAGGGGAGGG